ATTGAGCATCTTTGAGGGACCTAGCATACATCTTACGATGCTCCATATAAACTAGCTTGTGAACTAGCAAACCAGAAGCCAAGAAACGTCTCTCTAGCACTCAACCAGCTACCTTCATTTTCCTCAGCTCTGGGGTAAACCAGGGAGCTGAGCGTGAAAAGGCAACTGTCCTCTCCCTGACAGGAGCATGGTGGTCTAAGATGCTGGAGAGGCTGATGTTGTAGAAGTCTACCGCACTGAGGGAAGCTGGAAGGGAGCCAGGAATGAGTTATGTTAGTTATGTACAGTATACATCATGTGAATTTAAGCTTACTGTATATTACTACCTTGACATACGTATTCATACAAGTTAATCCTACTTGCACTGTTATATTCTACCGTTTACTATTTTTTCTTTAAGACCTTGTAAATATTGTATTTACTTTTTCACTTTTTGGTTCTTTATGTTGTACCAATATTGAATGCTTTAGTATTTCTTTTTTGTTTGTTCATTGTTTTAGTGAGTCAAATCAGTTCTTCTCATCCTGAATATTTTATTGTACTGTTAACCTTGTGTTAACCTGCATATGACAAATAAACATAACCTGAATTAAGCATTAACCTTTAATTTAACCATTAAGCATACGATATAATTATGACAGAAAATGGAGGATTTACCTGCAGTTACTTTCGTAGAGATGAACATGTGGTAGCTACTTCTTGTTTATAACTTGTGATCAGCTGATGGGGTCGGTCCCTGGCTTTTTACATGTTTTCCAAACTCTGTTTAATTTTGAAAAATAATAAACTGTATCCCACTCTATCCTGATGCATGCTCAATAATCCAGGTAGAAAAATCTAAAAAAGTTAAATCTGGTCCTCTGGACATTCAAAAAAAACAAAACAAAGCAAATCAACAAAAAATGTAGAAACATTTCGTCTCTCATCCAAGAGACTTCCTCAGTCTGAGGAGCTGTATTCAGCTCAGTATCTTAAATAGCACCTTCTCAGGGTGGATTAACCAGTTTTGCTGCTGACAACCAAAACCAGCTGATCACATGCTCAAGAAGGACCATCAGCCTAACAATGGATCATTAGCACCTGACGGCTGTTTACTATTCACAGAGGGCTGAGTGATACTAGCAATCACAGCATTGTAAGAGGGGGACAGTTGAACCCGGAGGCCTCCACCCCATCCCACTCTCTAAACTCTCAGGGTAACACGTGTGTGGATTGCCTGTTCTCCACTGACACCGTTTAACCATTTTGTTCTGGTGATTTTTCACAAACCCCTCTGACTGTAAAGCGTCCTGGCTGCAGGCAGCCCCATATCTGCAGGTAAGGGGCCTTTACCTTGGGGACAAATTAAGGTTACCGATTGGTCATTTGCTGACACACCTACTGGATTGATTGACAGGTCTCACAGTGGAGCGGACTTGTGGAAAAAAGAGAAAAAAAACCTAGAGAAAAATCTGGCTTTGAATATCAAAAAAAACAAGGAGGTAATTTTTGATTTCAGGAAGCACAGCACCAACCTAGCCCCCCTTTACATCAATGGCGAGTGCGTGGAGAGGGTTCACACTTTCAGATTTCTTGGTGTCCATATCTCTGCTGACCTAAACTGGAAAGAGAACACCACAGCGGTCATCAAGAAGGCTCAGCAGAGACTACACTTCTTAAGAGTCCTTAAGAAGCACAACCTGAACACCAACTTGCTGCTGACCTTCTACCGCTCGTCCATCGAGAGCCTGCTGACATACTGCATCTCAGTATGGTACGGCAGCTGCACCCTGGCTGACAGGGAGAGGCTTCAAAGAGTAGTCGAGACAGCACAAAAGATAATTGGCTGCCCTCTCCCCTCCCTGATGGACATTTACACATCACGCTGCCTCAACAGAGCAGAAAACATAATCAAGGACTGTTCTCACCCGGGTTTTGAGCTGTTTCACTTGCTACCTTCAGGGAAGCGCTACAGGTGCATCAGAACACGAACAAACAGATTCAAGAACAGTTTTTTCCTGAAAGCCATCACCGCACTGAACTCACACATGCACTGATTTAATCATCTAACCTCCCAAACACCTGGACTTCTACTGTGCAATACTACTGACATTTCATACTCTCAATCACCTTAACTACCTCACTAATATTCATAATGTGCAATATAATTGTGAAATACTTGTATTTTTTAACTTTCATAGTGCTATTATATCTATATTGTGTTACACTTTTTATATTTTTAGTGTGTGCTTTTCTTAAGCATGTTTTTGCACTGAAAAAAGGAGTGGCTCTTAATTTCATTGTACTTGCGTATAATGACAATAAAGGCATTCTGATTCTGATTCTAGAGCTGCAGCCGGTTCTGTGGTGGAGGTGGGGCGGCCCAGGAGCAGTGGTAGCGTGTTCTATGTTTATATATTGTTAATAAAAAGTTCTAAAAAATAAAAATATAGTGAGCGCCGGCGCTGCAGCCCACAAATCAGACCGGCCCACCGGGAATTCTCCAGACCCTCCCGATTGGCCACTCCGGGCCTGTCTAGTGTTTGGTAAATAACTAAAGTGTCATAACAAAAGTCAAGATATTTTAATACATCTTTATTGTCAACATATATGCTGAAATGATACATGGATGGAAGGTAACAGCCTCTTTCATCTTTATGTCAAACTGTTGCTCCAGAGCTGGACATAAACAGACTGTAGGTCTGCTGCAATTATTTTGCTGGAGAATCATCTGAAACACACACGGCATGTTTTACTAAACCGTATTTAATCGCCACCAGGTGGTAAGGCGAGTTGGAATCTGTACCCGCCTACAGAACCGGTCACAATGGTCACAATGGAAATGCAACATGTACAAGCTGATCTGAGCTGAGCCGAGCTGACCCGATCTGCAAAGTCACAGTGGAAAAGTGGCAATAAAAATGAGACAACCATTCACTGTCTCACTCTCATCTAGGGACAATTTAGAGTTAACAGTCAGTCTAACATGCATGCTTTTCGTCTGTGGGAGGAAACTGGAGTACCTGGAGAAAATCCACGCAGCATGCAAACTATCTAAAAAAAGTTAAATCTGGTCCTCTGGACATTCAAAAAAAAAAAAAAAA